TGTTCTTTTGTGTATACACCTAGGAGTGGAATTGCTGGATTATATGGTAATTTTATGTTTAACTTCTTGAGGAACCACTAAACTGTTTTCCAAAACAGCTACACCATTTTATATCCCCACCAGTAATGCATGATGGTTTCAACTCTGGTTCGTTTGGTTTTTTTGTTTGTTTGTTTCTTTGTTTTGACATTTAATAGGAAGAGAACCACTTCCCACTGTACAGGTATTATGCCATCTTGAGTTCCCCTGTTGGCATATCATTTACCCATTAATCCATTCAGCAAAAATTTACCAAATACCTGTGAGGTGCTAGGCATTGTACTAGGCACTAGGCCCTGTTGGATAAAATAGACATGGGTTCTGTCTTCATAGTGCTTACTGTTTAGTTAAAGAGACAAGAAAGAAAGCAAAAATATGCATCATTGCAGATTATGATAGAGTTCTCTGGAGAAATGAACAGGGACAGTGATAAGGATAATTATAGCGTGAAATTTTATTATTTGCTGTTTTAGGAAACAGCATAGTGTAAGGGATTAAGATGTGAGCTTTGAGGCCTGACAAGATTAATATTAGCTCTGCCATTTCTAAACCTTTTGACCTTAGACGAGTTGCTTAAATCTCTTTGTGCCTCAGTTCCTGAACTATAAAATGGAGATCATAATAATAGTACTTACTTCAAAGGGTTATTGTGAAGATTACATGATAGGGTCCATGAAAAGTATTTGGCATGCTGCCTATCACATAGGAAGTACTCAGTAAATGTAATAATTTCATAGCTGCTCTTTGTAGGCTACGTGCTGTACTTATAACAATCCACACTTGGACTATTCAGCCAGTTATTCGTGTTATGACCCACTGACAACACACAGTGGTCAAGCTTCTGCTTCCTGATACTCTTGACCACATAAGCCTATCCCTCTAGGTCCAGAGCCCAGTGGCCTCCTCTCCTGGCCAGCCTCTAGTTTTCCATCAAAATCTCTGCCCCTGCCCTTCCTTCTTCTAGCCAGGGGCGGTGGTATGAGAATAGAAGCTTCAAAGCTAGGCACATCTCTCTGTATCAGTTGGATGATCTTAGAAAATTACTTACCTCTCTGAGCCTCAGTGTTCCCCTTGGTAAGGCACATTGGAAGCTATTGTGATGATGGGAGATAATGTATCTCAAGTACCCTTATCAGTGAGTCAATCAACGACTCAATCATAACTTTCTCTAGAGATATCTTTTTTCATGGTGAATATATATATATGTATCTATATTTATATATCTATATTATATAGCTATATCTATCTATAGATATAGATATAGATATATTTAGAATTAGCCAGCTGGACTCAGTTGAGATGATCCCATTTGTTGGCAACATCCAAAGTCATGAGCCAGTCAAACATATGCCTTCTTTCCATCAGGCCTGATCAGGGTGTGACCTTGGCCATGTCAGTGTCACAGAGCTTCTTCACAGCCTGGTTGATCTGGTGCTTGTTGGCCTTGACACCCACAAAGAACACAGTGTGTCGTCTTCTGTCTTCTTCAAGGCTGATGTGGTGGTCAGAGGGAACTTAACAGTGGTGTAGTGGTCAAGCTTGTTTCTCCTAGGGGTGCTCTTCCAAGGATATTTGGGCTGCCTTCGAGCTGCAGTACCTTGGGCTGTCAGGAGGTAGATGAGGTGTGGATCATTTTTTGTGTGGCTAAAGACACCTTTCAGCACTATTCTCTTGGCCTTCACAGTGTTTGCTTTGGCTTCAGCTTTGGGAGGGACAGGGGTTTCCTGCCTCCCTTTCGGCACCATCTTGAAAAGCTAGTAGTATCCTAAATAAAATTGATAAGAGCATTTTCAATATTGTCCTGTTAAATTGATGCTTATCTAGTCTAGAAAATTTTAAACTGGGCAGTTAAAGAGTTAATAATTGATTAAATAGGAGGCCCATCATTTTTATAAAAGGTTAACTTTAGGCTCTTGATCAGGAATGTCAAACCCATTATAATATAGCTTCTTCAAGACAATCAGGTACAATGTAAGGCTGCAAACGATGCCACCTTTTAAGCTTTGGTTTACCGCCTATGTGTACATTTTAATAAGACTCTGCTAAGTATAGGCCAAACAAATGATCCTCTAACAACAGGAATTCCAGGGGTCCTTCTGGTCAGGAGTCAGCAAACTATGGCCTGCAGGCCAAATACAGCCTACACCTTGTTTTTGTAAATAATCACTTACTGGAACACAGCCATGCCCATTCGTTTAGGTATTGTCTATGATGGCCTTTGTGCTACAAAGAGGCAGAGCAGTTTTAACAGAGGCTGTATGGCCCACAAAGCCATCTACAGTATCTCCTATCTGTCCTTTTTTTCAGAAGTTTGCCAGCCCCTATTGCAGGCCAAGACGGGAAATGTTTGGGCAGCAGCCTTCAAATTGTTTGTGTAGCCTTTAACCTACATGTGTTGTCTCCTGCTGTTTGCTGGTAGGGTCACTGTTCCGGTGTGCCTTGGGTGTTTCATGGGAAAGGCTTTAAGTGGCATTTATCAATAGACTTAGTTCAGCATTGCTGAATGAGTGTAGACTTAATTGTAACAAGACCCAATAATTTAGTGGCATGAATAAGGAAGTTTGTTTTCTGCTCATGAAATGTAATAATTTACATTATTACCCCACATAATTTATCCCACATATCCAGTGTGGGTATTCTAGGTGGCTCTGCTGCACAGAGTAATTCTGGGACTCAAGTTCTTTCCACCTAGTGGCTCTGCCCTGTGTTAGGGTCTGTTGTCATCTGCGTGGCCCAGGTTAAGTCACCACATCCAGTTTCCAGCAGTTGAAGAGGAATGGAGAACATAGATGAGTATGATGTGTGTGTGCCCAGAAATGGCACACGTCACTCCCACTCATACTCCATAAGCTAGAATTTGGTTGTATGACAGCACCTAATGGCAAGGGAGCCAGAGAAGAAGAAAGAGAGCTTGTCTCTCTCAAAGTAGGTAAGAAGGAATTCTCCGTGGGCATCAAGGGTCCTCTAACAACTCCTTGGCCTAAGTTGTAGAGCTTTAGCTCTGCCAAAGGTAGTTTCATGCCAGAGCGTGGTGGAACCTAGCTAGATACGCTGCCCTGATTCTATCAACTCCATCTCCACTTACTCTTCCCTAATAGTTCTGCTCTGTCACCCCCTGTAGCTCCTTCTTCTCTTTCTAACACTTCTTCTTTTTATAAGTGTGGACAGTTAATTCCTAGTAGGACGTCTGGCTCTTGCAGCCCTAAGAATGATAACAAAAAAGATGTAGGCGCTATTATTTTCTCCATATTAAAGATAAAGAAACTGAGATAAAAAACAATGAAGTACGCTGCCCAAGGTTATAGCTGGTCACGTGTGGCACTTGAAAAAAAGACATTTTAATCTCTTTTCAATCCCTTTTGCTGGGTGGGGATTTTATTCCAGAATCTGGCCGATAAGCATGCTGAATTAGCAACCATCATTTGTCAAGGAGTTTTCTTTTCACATTTGCAGAAATATTCTTTCCTGTTGTTTACCTTTTTATTTTGTTTATGCAGAGCTGGTTTTGTTTTTCCCCTGATGGTTAGAAGCTTTATGCTTTTATGCAGTAAAACCTGCTGATGTTTTCCTTTATGATTTTTTACTTACATCCAGGCTTAAAAAACCATCCTCCTTTGAGAATGATAATACATATTTAATTAGACTTCTTCCTGTTTTCCAGTGTTTGATTTTTTAAATTGTTATTTACTGTTTTTTTGTTTTTTTTTTTTTGTGGTACGCGGGCCTCTCACCGCTGCGGCCTCTCCTGTTGTGGAGCACAGGCTCCGGACGCGCAGGCTCAGCGGCCACGGCTCACGGGCCCAGCCGCCCCATGGCATGTGGGATCCTCCCGGACCGGGGCACGAACCCATGTCCCCTGCATCGGCAGGCGGACTCTCAACCACTGTGCCACCAGCGAAGCCCTGTTATTTACTCTTATCCATCTTGAATTGCTTTCGTCTGTGGAAAAAATGAAGATTCCCGTTATATTTAGATTTGACTCTACCAGAGAAAGTATTTATTTCAAACAGGCTTAAATGGAGAAAGCCAATACCAGTGACTGACCCCCAAGAAATCTATACCATATTGTTAGTGATAAGATTCCTTAATAGAAGGCTAGGGCGGGTCTAGGTATGGGGTTGCTTATCGCAGGCAGGTGAGTTTATTTCACAGCTGTTGTGAGTGTACTGGATGCTGCTGGCCCACTGGCCACATACCCTCTCCTGACTCGTGCATCCATCCCCCAGGTACTGTGAGTTTGGGCTGCTAACATTCACAGATACATCCTTCTCCAGAGAATTGCCCTCAGCCCAAAGGGAGCCACTCCACCCAGGAAATTACACCTATGCCCCTCCCGACGCCTGGGTCATAACCAGCAGCCAATGACTGATTGACACGGGGTACAAAAGGCTGACCCCCTTGCCTCAAGGTGGGATCAGCTTTGCGATGCTATTTATGCTGCCGTGCTTCCCCGTGGAATCATCCTGAAGTTCATCTCTGGCTGAGGTCCTCCCCGTGCTTAGTTCCTCCTCCTGCCCTGTTCCTCTCCCTCACTCTTCCTCCTGAGTCCTCCTTCACTAAACCGTATGCACCCCAAACCCTGTCTCAGGCTCTGCTTCTAGGGAATGTGATCTGAGACAGTGAGAAAATCTAATTTAAGTAACATTCTAATACACATAATTTATAATCTAATGTATGTAACAAACATATCTTACAAACTTTGTAGACATAGACTCAAGATCAAAGGTTCTATTTTCAAGAGTTTAAACAAATGTGTAATACATTGTTAACTATGTTGGAGAGTTTTTTACCCTTAAATACTGAAACTGTATTGAGCAGGATTATTAGAGATAAGAATTTTTTTTTTTTTTTTTTTTTGTGGTACCCCGGCCTCTCACTGTTGTGGCCCCTCCTGCTGCGGAGCACAGACTCCGGACACACAGCCTCAGCGGCCATGGCTCATGGGCCCAGCTGCTCCACAGCACGTGGGATCCTCCCGGACCGGGGCACGAACCCGCGTCCCCTGCCTCGGCAGGCGGACCCTCAACCACCGCGCCACCAGGGAAGCCCGAGATAAGAATTTTTTAACTTAAGATAGTTGACCCACCTGGATGATATTTATTGTTCCTTGTTTTTTGAGGTTTCTGGGGTGTAAATATTCTCTAATCCCCTTTCATCATTGTACTGAGAAGAATAATGTAACCTCAGGATTTGGAATGCTCCGTGTACTTTTGTTCATGAGATTTGCCTCTCACGCCTTACCATTAAATACCATGTAGCATGTTACCTATAGTCCTTTTCGTTTCAGTCAAAGAGAAATCAAACTATTTCCACAGTGGCATGAATTCATTTCATTCTTCAGAATGTACCCAGCACCAGCTATGGAATAATACTTCCCTTCCCTCACAATGATTATTTTCCAAGGCAATACCACTTGGATCTCAGCATTTCATTTTCTTTTCCATCCCCAGCTTGGCCTCTAAGGATTTTGATTATTCTCTACCTCACATCTGAAGAAGAGACTCGGTGACTTGCTTCAAGTGGGAAGGCCAGAACCTTCCTTCACGCTCGGAACCGCAAGTTCCAAAGGTACTGTTGACCTTTCCTAGACCCATGCAGCACCTCAATCTGTTTGTACGCGTGTGGACTCAGCTGCTTCTGTTCGTGGCATTGATCTGTTAAGCAGTGACCCTTCCCTCAGTCTCTCTACATTCTGTCTCACTCCATTGGTTCATTAAGAATGAACACTATATGTGCTTTGAAAATGAACCCAACACTCCTGGGGCTTGCTTTGAGTTCCTCTCTCTGTTCAGATAGGACAGCTAGAAGATGGTGCAATGTTTATTTGCTATTTTGATTTAGACTGTTTCTTTTTTCCTACCCTTGAGATCTCAAAAACCTTCTTAAGCAGCAGCCTGGAGGAACACAAGCGGTATGGGGAAGGGAGGAGAGAGCTAAGGAAGGAAAGGGTGTGGGGGAGCAAGGCTAGTGATTTTCTGGGGTTGGCTAGGGATCTGACCCTTATTTTCTGAGTGCTGGGCATTTCTCCCATTTTGGATCACTCTTCCCTGGTGCTCATCCTGCTATCTACAGGGCTGTACAAAGAGAAGGGTATGAAAAAAGCATCAAAGTGGGCTTTGGAGTTAGTTACACCTGGCTCTGAATACACCACTTTTAATCTATTGACCTTCTGAAAGTTACTTAAATGCTCTTATATCTTGTGATGTGCACAGTATATCATCTGGTCTTTACGTGGATTCATGTTAGATGGACTTTTTCAAAAACGATTTAGATGAGGAATTTATCCTAAGTGTGTGGATTCCCCTGACCTTAATTAGTTGGCCACTCTGGTTAATGCTGCTGAGGCCCAGAATTTTGGAGGCAAAAAAAGGGACCTCTGGTCATCTTACCCAATCACAGTCATTAACCCTGTCAAGGGCACCTGCCTCAACACTGGCCTCCTGGGTTGTTGTTAGGGTCAAATGAAGTACAAGGTGATTTAGGTACTATTATTACTAGCATCTCCATGTTATGGATGTGTGATCTGAGGCACAGAAAAATTAACTTGCCTATCACACAGCTAGTAATTGACATAGCTAGGATTTGAACCCAGGCCACAAGAGATCCAAATAAAAATAAAATAAAATTATGGGACTATGCGATTTTCTCTTATATTTAAGGTTAGGTTACTTTATTTTGCATCTAGGCAACTTTCTTAGAATGAAAAAAAAATATTTTGCTGACATTTTTTCATAATATTTTTCCAAATATGGTATGACAGCCGGATACATAATATTTCATACTCAAATTTCCCAACATGATCCAAATAAGACTATTTTTACAAAATTATTTGAGGACTTCGTCAGTTTTCCCAAGGACCTCTCCTAAGCCTCTGATAATTCAAATAATTTTCTTTTGAAGTGCCCGTGCAATTGGTTTTGATTGTATTTGCATTGCAGACTCACATAATTAGCAGGAGGCGCTCTGGCAAAAAGAGGTGTAAGAGGACATGTACTAGCATTAAGAGGAGAAGTGATTTTCGAGGGGGAACAAGTTTGATATTAGTGAATATTTTTATCTTAAGATGACCTTTGCTTCCCTATGTAACTTGACAATAGCAGGGACTTGGGTAATAAGGGCTGAGCTAATGAGAACCCTCTGGCATTTCACAGACATTAACTGTCTGGCCTTCTTTAGAGAATGGCTACAGCTTAACTGATTTGATAAGGGTATTTGGTGAGTCACTGAGGCAGACAGATTGTAAGGTGACCCCAATGATCTTTGCCTCCTAGAATCCATGCTCTTGTGTAATTCTCTCCCTCTGAGTGTGGGTAGGTCCTGTGACTTGTCTCTAATCAATAGGTAATGGAATGTATGTGATTACATGCACACATTAATTATCTCACAGTTTCTGTGAGTCAGGAGTCCAGGCAAGACTTTGTTGGGTCTCTACTCCAGGGTCTCATCTGAAAGCTGCAATCAGTCTTGGCCAGGGCTGCAATCTTAGCTCAAGGTTTGACTGGGGAAGGATCCACTTATAAGCTCACATGATTGTTGGCAGAATTCAGCACCTTGAGGGTTGTTGGACTGAGGGCCCTGGTTCCTTGCTGTCTGTCAGTTGAAGTTACCTTCAGTTTCTGCCACGTGGGCCTCTTCATGGGGGAGGTTCACAACATGGCCACTTGCTTCATCAATTAAGTTTCTAAATCTGAAGCAATTTGTTATCTAGCAATAGATAATTAACAATACAATTATCATATCCAAAATCAAGTCATTTATGCCAATGTTTATTGAGAGAATCCCATGTACAGAGAAGCCTGCACTAGCTCTGGGGATACTGTGGTGAACAAGAGAGAAAATGGATCTTCATGGAGCTTACAGTCTAACGAAATGGATGACTGTGATATCGGGATTTTTTGTTTTACTGAGGTATAGTTGATGTACGTTATTATATAAGTTACGGGTATATAACATAGTGATTTATAATTTTTAAAGGTAATACTCCATTTATATTATAAAATATTGGTTACCTCCCCTGTGTTGTACAATATATCCTAGTAGCTTATTTTTTAATACATAATAGTTTGTACCTCTTGATCCCCTATCCCTATCTTGCCCCACCACCACCACCTCTCCCCACTGGTAACCACTAGTTTGTTCTCTATATCTGTGAGTCTGTTTCCTTTTTGTTATATTCACTAGTTTGTTTTAATTTTTAGATTCCACACATAAGTGATATTATACAGTATGTGTCTTTCTCTGTCTGACTTACTTCACTTAGCATAATACCCTCCAAGTCCATGCATGTTGTTGCAAGTGGCAAAATTTCATTCTTTTTTACGGCTGAGTAGTATTCCATTGTGTGTATATATATATATATATATATATATATATACACACACACAATGGAATACTATATACATATATATATATATATATATACACCACATCTTCTTTATACATTCATCTGTTGATGAACACTTAGCCTGCTTCCATATCTTGGCAATTGTAAATAATGCTGCTATAAACATTGGGGTGTATGTGATACGGTGATCTATGTTAAGAAATATATATTTGGTCTTCATCCCTGGTTACGGGCACAGAGCTCCTAAAACCCTTGGAATTTCCTGAGTGATAGGAGAGTTTTTTGTTATTCATAAGGAACCCCTTCTGAGCAGACCTGTGTTTTTACTAATAAGGTAGCTTAGGGGCCCCTAGATAGCCTCAGGATGGGGCTGGTCACCAGGAAAACTTGTGATTAGAAGGTCGGAGCTTTCAGCTCTACCCACTGATCTCTAGACAGGGAAATGTGGTGGTGTGCCTTCCCCTTATAAAAATTCCGCCTTATAGAAGCTGTTGAACAACAAGATTTAATGAGCTTCTGGTTTGATGTATACATTCACATACCAGGAGGGTGGTGCACCCCGGTTCCTGAGCTCGGACCTCTTCATCTGGCTGTTTATCTGTATCCTTTATAATATCCTTTATAATGAATGATAAACATAAGCAGATATTTCTCTGAGTTCTGTGAGCTGCTCTAGTAAATTAATCAAACCTGAGGAGGGGGTAGTGGGGACCTTTGGTTTATAGCTAGTCAGCCAGAAGCACAGGTGACAGCTTAGACTCATGATTGGCATCTGAAGTGGAAGCAGTGTATAGGATGGAGCCCTTAACCTGTAGGATCTGACACTATCTGCAGGTAGGTAGTGTCAGAATTGAGTTAAATTTGTAGGACACCCAGTCAGTCTTTGCTGAGAACTGGAGAATTGCTTGGTGGGGTTGGAAAAAACACATTGGAATGACATTAAACAAGTAACTATTACATGAACTCTGTATTTTAATACTACCATCAGAATTCAGTAGAACTAACTGGATACCTATACATGAATATTATTGAACATTCACTATAGTCATAATATTTTTTCAGCAAAGCATCCATAGAAAATCTACCTTTAAGCCATGAAGTTTCTCATAGCCTGAGATAATGCCACCATTCCTTATAAAAGTGAGGACAGGGACTTCCCTGGGGGTCCAGTGGTTAAGACTCCATGCTTCCATTGCAGGAAGCGTGGGTTCGATCCTTGGTCAGGGAACTGAGATCCCGCATGCCACGCGATGAGCCCCCCCACCCCTCCAAAAAAAGCGAGGACATGCTCACCCTCTCTCCAAAAGGAGAGCCCTAAAGTCTTAGCAGTCCCTGAATCTGACTCCAAGTCCAGGATTTCTGAGAAATGAGCATGCCTCCTCAAGTTTAGTAACAAGCCCATCTTGTTATTCTATAATCTCTGGACTAAGTTTTAAGATTAACCATCATTAATACAGTCTATATAACATAGTAGGAGAAAAGCAGAAGGAAATAAAATAGACAATCAGTTAACTGCATAAGTATATACTTGATAAAACAGGGAAGGTAATAATAGCAAACACTATTTTCCAGGCACTGTACATACATGTTAACTCATTTCATCTTTATAATAATGCTATAAGTAAGGACTATCATTTTACAAATGGGGGAAATTGAGCCAAAGAGAATATAAGAAGCTTGCATAAGGTCTTCAGCAGTAACTGAGATTTGAACCCGTGTTGTCTGACTTCAACTTCTGTGTATTTAACCCCCTGACTTGACCCTTCCTACCATTGTAACACATCACTGGTCAGGGACCCAGTATGTCTATTCTGTCCGTACTTTGGCTACAACTAAGCACTCAAGAACTGAGGAAATAACTATAGAGGGGATTCAAGGATCCACTAGGATCCACTATAAATGGTCCTGCTGTGGGTGAGCCCCACTAGCACCTGTATTCCATAAACTCCCTTACACCAACCAGAGAACCGCAAATGGCATTTAGAGCCTCCAGATCTTAGCATCAGCTGGGAATAATAATAAAAATCCTGAAAGACCAATGCAAGCCCTTTTCCCAGGGCCCAGTTACCCTAGTATGTGGCTCCAAGTGCATTTGTTAAAGGGAAGGAGGAAGAC